CCTCATCTCTCAGCTGCGGTGACAGACCTTTTCCCTATCATCGCTGTCAGGCTCAGATGAGATGAGAGTTAGGGAAGCATACATGCTGTAGCTGGTACACACACCTGCTTTCTCTGCTATTCCTGTTTTAGTTTACAATGCACCCTCATGCCCACTAGATTTGAGCCTCAACTGCTTATGAGGTAAGTGTAAGGATTGGGTCCATTTGACAGCTGAGAAAACTGAGGTAAGGAGAGATGAGGTGGCTTGGGGGAGAGGTGTGAGGGGTGGACTTAGCTTGAGCATTGCTGTCAGACGAAGCTGGGACTTTGCCACTTAGCCGACACATGGCCTTTACTCATCCATAAAATGGGTGTGGGCCTCTACCCCCGAGGGTGGTTGTGAATATGAAAGGAGATTAGAGAACTTAAGTGTTGGGCAAATTGTGTTTCATCCTTTGCCCCACTCCTCCTGGGTTTGCCTGACTCAGCTGAAGGGCAGTGGAGCTTGTGCCAGGCCCAGGTCTTCTGCCCCAACCAGGCTGCAAAGATTAGGGCGAGCCCTGGCCTCCATGGCACTTCCTGTGCAGGGAGACCACTGTGGCAGGACTGCCCCACACAGCTGCAGAGGCGCCACATCCAGAGGCACCATGAATGGGGTCCGCTCTCAGAGGGGTTTGATGCGGCTGCCCTGCTCACTGAGTTTCTGGCATCCTCGACCGTGACCTTGGCGACTTGGAGCTGGGTGGGCCCAGCTGGCCACTAAGGTGGCAGAAGGTGGTGTGAGGGCCGCTTCACATCTGCCCTCTAAGCAAACTTCCTGCTGTGGGCAGAGCTCACTGGCACCTGTGCCCTGCCCTGCCAGCTGTCACCTGCTGGGATGGCCCCAGGCCTACCCAAAGCCTGTCTCACGTGTCCAGGCCTCTAAGCGGGGCCGGGGCATGGCTGGGAGGTGAGCAGGCAGGAGATGGGCCTCTGGAAGCTAATTACTCTCACTTTTCTGTGTGTTGTGAAACGTTTGTTTTTCATTTTTTTCTTCCCCTGAATCTGAAAGGGGAATTATTATCCTCATTTTACAGATGAAGAGAAAGAGGTTCAGAGAAGGTGTGAATGTGGTCCAGGTCACACAGCAATAGAACCCAACTTGCCTGCTTCCAGGGGCAATATTATGTATCCCGCCCTCATCTGCAAGGATGCTGGGAGCTTAGAGGAGGGTGAGGACAGGCACCGTCTCAGCTTCCTGGGCTGTCTTCCAGAGAAGGAAGCGAGGTCTGTGAGAATCTGTGGAAGCACTGGACACGGAGTTCTATGTTTGGGACTCCTGGCCGGTGTCCCAGGGATTTCTGGCTGGTGCCCTGCCCTGTACTGACATACAGGCTGGGGTTCAAATCCAGGGTCCCATCAATCTGCTCCATCACCCTGGTCTGTGATTGGGAGCGGTGAGCCTCCCAGCAGGCTGCTGTGGGGCTGCAGTGGGCCCAGAAGACACATTGCCAGAGAAAGTCCAGGTCTCCAGTGGGTGTTGGGCATTCACCTGAGGGGCAGCAGCAGCTTCCCAGCATGGGCCCCTCCATCAGCCCCTGGAGCTGAGTCCCATCTACTGCCTCTTCTGTTCCCCCGGCTGGCCTCTTGCCATTGGCCCTTCCTCGGTCTAGACAGTAGGACCACAGGTGCGGAATAAACTGCTTCCCAGCAGCTCCAAACCGAGTAGGCTGGCAAGTGACTCAGCCTCTCTGAGTCTTGTGGAGCCTGCCATTTAGAGGCCTGTGATAAGCTTTGCTCCCCCACCCATTCCCCACAGGAGCCCCTTGAGATTCTGTTTGTAACCCCACTTACATCCCAGGCACTGAGTGCTGCCCTGCGTGAGCCCATTTAACCTGCACTCTGTCCTGTGAGGCAGGTGCCACTATTGTTCCTCATTTTACAGGTGAGGAAACCAGGCCCCATGAATGGAATTAGAGACCCATGATCTCCCAGCAGGAATGCGTCCAAGCAGGGAGGTGAACCACCAGTGCCCAGACTCATAACCACCCTCAGTGTTGGAAGGGACCTTCAGGATCACCCCCAAAGCAGAAGCAGCCCACACCTAGGATCAGTGACATTCCCACCCCACTCCCCACTATGTGTCCCAGATGGGGAAGGGGCATTGGATCCCCAGAGATGACCCGCCAGGGCTCTGAGGGGGCCGACAGCTGGTCTCATTCCCATCAGCCTCAGGCTGGCGGGGGCGTGGGTGATCTGTCTCGGGGTCTGGCCTGCAGAACCTGGTCAGCGGAGCCGCAGAGAACCTGGTCTCTGCCTCAAGCCCCTGTGGGGTGGTTTAGTTGGCCAGGGGTGGGGACAAGAAAAGAGTTACAGGACAGTAAAGCTGTCCAGAGATAGAAGTGGTTGATCTGGTAAGTTGTAAGCTCTCCATCCCTGGAGGTATGCATGTAAAGATAATCACTTGGCAGACATCATATCAAAATCTAAAGCATCCAGATGGGCAGAGGAGTTGAGGTCTCCCATTCTGCCCTGAGCATCCCAATTCTGATCTGGTAAAGGATATTTCAATAGGTGGGAGTCTTTCTGTCTATGGACCACCATCACTCAATCTTTCAACAAACACCCCTAAGCACCTACCCTCAGCCCCCGGACTCTCAGTCACTGCCCTAGGGCAGGACTTTCCCTGCAGAGAGGACTTAGGAGGCGCCAGGAGGTGCTGGGGCACATACAGGGAACTAACTCTATGGAGCAGGGAGGGGGTGGCGGGAAGGCTGAGGGCCGAAGGGGCTGGCTCACGCCAAGTTTCAACTGTGTATATGGGGCCTTGGGGAGCCACAAAGGCTTGGAGCAGGGTGTGAAGACTTCTCTGCCCCCAGCCTTTCTCATTGTCTCCCTGGCAGGCAGCAGGGTCTGTCCCAGTCCCTGTTAACAGCCTCTCTTCTGTTCCGGCAGGACGCCCAAAGTGGTTGACATCCCCACTTATGAGGAAGCTGTGAGCTTCCCAGTGGCCGAGGGGCCCCCAACACCACCTGCATACCCTATGGAGGAAGCCCTGGAGCCAAGTGCACCAAAGGATGCCCTGCTCAGCACCCAGCCCCCCTGGCCTCCACCCAGCTACGAGAGCATCAGCCTTGCTCTTGATGCCGTTTCTGCAGAGACGACACTGAGCGCCACGTGCTCCTGCTCAGGCCTGGTTCAGACTGCACGGGGAGGAAGCTAAAGGCTCCTAGCAGGCCCTGAATCCAGAGACAAAAATGCTGTGCCTTTTCCAGAGTCTCGTGCAGTGCCTGGGCCACAGTAGGCACTCAACAGATGTTCATTGTCGAAGGCTGTTCTATTTATCTATTGCTGTATAGCAAACCACCCCAAATTTAGTGGCTTAAAATTAATCCCATTTTATTATAGCTCACGACTCTATGAGTTGCCTAGGCCCAGCTGGGGGTGTTCTGCCCTCTGTGGTGTGGGTGAGGGCCGTCCTCGGGGCCCAGCTGGCCAGAACATCCTGGGTGGCACTCCTATGGCCAGTGGTGAGTGCTGGCTGTCCGCTGGGAGATTGTGTGCAGGTGAAAAAACTGGGGCCCAGGGGCACACATCACATTTATAACAAGAAGAACATGGCCTCTGAATTCAGACCACCTATGTATAGGTTCCACAGGGACCTTTTTTTTTTAGACAGGGTCTCACTGTGTCACCCAGGCTGGAGTACAGTGGCTCAATCATGACTCGCTGCAGCCTCTTTCTCCCAGGCTCAAGCGATCCTCCCACCTCAGTGTCCCAGGTAGCAGAAACCATAAGCATGCCCGACTAATTTTTAAAAATTTGTTGTAGAGAGGTAGCTTGCTCTGTTGCCCAGGTTGGTCTCAAACTCCCAGCCTCCTAAAGTGTTAGGATTACAGACGTGAGCCACTGTGCGCAGTCTGCCATGTACCATCTTAGTGACTTGGATGGGTGACTTTTCCTCTCTCCGCCTCAGCCTCCTCATCTGTAAAATGGGAATTAAGGATTCCCTCAAAGAGCCGATTTGTGAGGATTCAGTGAGATGATAGCAACTGACATGTGAGTTCACCCTGATGCCGCCGTCAATGGCTCAGTGCTGAGGCACCAGATAATAAAGGCAGGTGTCTTAGCCCTGAGCCAGGTGCCTACTATGTGTGCAGTCATTGTCAGTTTTATTAGTAGAGGTAGCCCTCCTCCACCAAGGGCAAATTCGGCCTCTGCTCCCATACCTCCTGTGACGGGAAGCTCACTACTTTTGACTTTGCAGATGTGGCAGAAACATCTACTTTTGACCAGCCCCATTCTGCATCTCTACGTCTCTAGCCCATCCCACTTCCATGAAAAGAGGTGAAGTAACCTTCCCAGGGTCACACTGCCAGCAGGGGTCCAAAGGCCTGCGGCTTAGTCAACTGGAGAAGGGTGGCATCCCCAGAGCCTACTGTATACTGGGCCTGGTCCTCTGCCATTGTGTCATCTTCAGATGCCCTGCAACAGGTGGTGGTGTCAGCATTTGACAGGTGAGGAGCTAGCCTTGGAGAGGTAAAAATCCCAGACGATAAAGTCACAGCCGGTGTGGGGTCCTCCCACCTAGGCTGCATCATTGTCACAGTAGCTACCATCTGGTCTTGGTCTCTCTGCTTCTCCCTGAGGCCCTTGCAGTCTCTTCTCAGCCCAGCAGGCAGAGTGATCTGTTCAGACCCAGGTCAGATCATGACCCACCCCACCCTGCCGCACCCCACCCTTCCCTCCCCCGCCCAGCCCCTGTGGCTCCCAGCTCACCTTGAATAATGAAAGCCCAGGCCAGGCACCATGGCTCACGCCTGCAATCCTAGCAGTTTGGGAGGCTGAGGCGGGTGGATCATGAGGTCAGGAGTTCAAGACCAGCCTGGCCAAGATGGTGAAACCCCATCCCTACTAAGAATACAAAAGTTAGCCGGTGGCGGGTGCCTATAATCCTAGCTCCTCAGGAGGCTGAGGCAGAGAATTGCTTGAACCCAGGAGGTGGAGGTTGCAGTGAGCCAAGATCGCACCACTGTACTCTAGCCTAGGAGACAGAGTGAGACTCCTTCTCGGGGAAAAAAAAAAAAAAAAAAGGCCCAGACACTGGTCTGGGAAGAGGGGGCCTCTGAGGCCTGATCTGAGCCTGTCCTCTCTCCTGACCCTCTCATCTCCTGACACTCCCTCCCCCTGCTCTCTGCTCCAGCCAGTCTCACTGAGGCTCTTGCACTGACTATTCCCTCTCTCCTGAAGCGCTTCCTGGGGGCTGGCTCTTCAGCAACCTGGGGATCTCTTCTGACCCTCTCCCTCCCCCATCACCAAACTCTGGATGCCTCCTGTGCCTCCCTCCCTTCCTCTCCTTTACAGTCACTGCTTCACCCTCCCTTCTTGGTATTAACCCAGGACAGTCTAGGAACCTGGAGGTGTAGGTGTGAAGTGACCTTGGGCGGGTTAGGTGAGTTAATGAGTTGCCAGTGTGACCAGGAGGCACCATTTTACTGGGCAGGCACTGAAGGGGCAAGGGCGGGGAGGGCTGGAAGCACAGAGAGACCTTTTCTGCCTTTCTGTCCGGTCCACTCATCTGTGTCCTAACTGGAAGCCCGCAGGAGGGGCCATGACTTGCTCAAGGTCACCAGCATCATGGAAGAGGCTGAGTCAGGGGTGCAGAGGGAGACAGACTCCTGACCAAGCCATGTTACTGTTCTTTTCCAAGCCAAAGTAGCCTCGCTGTGAATGGGGGCTCCCCATTTTGTGCCCACCGGCAGGGTGCCTGACTATGGAGCCACGTGAGGCCCAGCTCTGCCACTCTGCAGCCCCTGGGGGCACCAGTGTGCTTGCTGATTTCTTTCCTCCTGGGCCCAACCGTCCAGTTTCTTCACCTCCTATTCAGACCTCATCTTGTGCTGGCCACCAGAGTCTCAGATGACGGATCCTCAGAGCTCAGACCTCTCCCGTGCTTTCCTTGGGCCCCTCCTGGGCTTCTGTTACCTGCTGGGTGGGCTTGGTGACCCCTGCCCCTGGAGCTCTCCCCTTAAATCAGCCCATCCCAGTCAGAAATCCCTATGCTACCCCCTCAGTGGCTCATCGCTGCTCACTGGGATCTTTCTTTCTCTAACTGAAACGTTAAAATCTGGTTCTCATCTTTCCCCTGCATAACCTCTGTGAAAAATGTCAGACACCTTAGCCCCAGCAGGTTTCCTGCCTGCACTTCCTCTCCGGCCTCTCTCTCCCAGGGACGCAGATTCCATCCCTCTATTCACATGAGCATCCAGAGCCTACCCTGTCCTAGCCCCTGGGGATAGAACAGTGCTCAAAACAAAGTCCCCACCCTGTGGGGGCTTGAGTTCTAGCTGGGGGAGACAGACAGACAAGAGACAAGATAAATCACACATATAGTATGATGGGTGGCTGTGAGCACTATGGAGAAACATTGGGAAAGGAATACAGGGAACCCCTGGGGAGGCGATTCTGCAGTTTTATAGCAGAATCAGGGAAGACCTTACTGTGAAGGCAACATTTGGGCAAAAGCCTGAAGGAGGTAAGGGAGGGAGCCATGCAGCTACAGGAAGGACAGCACTCCAGGCAGAAAGAACAGCAGGTGCGGAGGTCCTGGGGTGCATGCGTGTTCTGGGAACAGCATAGGGCCAGGGTGGTGGAGTGGGTGAGTGAGAGGGGGCATGGCGGGAGGCAAGCTCAGAGGATTGATATGCAGGCAGCGTGGGCCAATTATCCAGAGCCTTTTGGGTCATCTTAAAGCATTTGGTTTTTACTCTGATGAGATGGGAAGCCATTACAGGGCTCCGTGCAGAAGAGGTACATGTTCTGACCCAGTATTGGGGTTGCAAAGAGACTTCAGAGGTCAAGGATGGAAGTAGAGACCAGTTAGGGAGAGAAAGAGATGATGGAGGCTCAGACCCAATGACAAGCAGTCGTGAGGGGTGAGAAGTGATTGGATTTTTACATGTTGGAGGTAGAGCCCATAGGATGTGGGTGTGAGGGAGGAGGTGAGGTCGGTGGCATGGATCACTAACTGGAAAGATGGGGTTGTGGGAGGGGCAGATCTGGGGAGAAAGACACAATGCAGGCAGCCTGTGCACAGCACTTAGAGCTTTCTCGCCAGCCATGTGTTGGTGGGTACGTGCCTCAGTGCCTTTGCACGTGCTGGCCTCTGTGCCTGGAAGGCTTCTCCTGCCCCATCAGAACTCCATCTGCCTTCTCAAGGGTCCCTTCTGTGAATCTGTCCCTTCACCCCTCATTCCCATCTGTTCCTCTTTCTGCTTTGTGCACATTCGGGACCTCGCACGCATCACAGAGCCATTACCGTATTGTGCCCCAGAAGGTGCCCCAGAAGTTAGGACTGAGTGCCATCCATCCCTTAAGCCCTGTATTTGCGAGTTCCTAACCCTTCAGTGTCCCCCACACAGTGGGGACTCAACCAGAGACTGCCTGGGGACCTGGGTGGACTCCTGGCTCTACTGTCTGTTCCCAGGTATCTGGGAACCCACGTTGGGTTGCTCGCCTTGCCTGCATGGGCCTCGGTGTCTATCTCTGTCAAATGGGCGTGATCTTTCCCTCCCTGCCGCGGAGTGTCTCCCTGAAGAGCCTGCTCTCAAGGAGGATCCCGAAAGCAGGGGTTAGCGCGCCCTCTGCTGGACAACTCCGCCCGCTCTGCTCCCCTGTCCCCCAAGTGGCCCGGGGGAGGTGAAGTAAGGCGGGGCGCGGAGCGGGGGGGCGGCACTGCAGGAGAGGAGGGTGAGCTGCTGCACCCGAACATTTCCAGCGCACCCTACACACATGTCCTTACTTAATCCCTAGCCTGACTCTGTGGAAGGGCTTAGGTGAGACCCATTTTCCTGAGTGCCTACTTGCTTCCTACTTGTTACTGAATTTCTTACTCGTTGTTATCGTTTTTGTTTTGTTTTGTTTTGTTTTGTTTTGTTTTAAGAGGAGAAGCGACTCAGAGAGAAAAGGGGCAAAGAAGGCTGGGCAGTGTAGAGGAAAGAAAAGGCGCGAGAGGAGGAGAGTGCCCGGGTGACCGCGAGGCCTCTGAAGAATGGCTGAAGACCAGACCCATCTACATGGGGCTGGGAGGGGAGGTCCCGTCACCGCCCAGCCGCCGACTCAGCTGAGGGAGACCTTAGCCAGCCCCTGCCACTCCGCGGGCTCGGTTTCCTCGCCTGTGAAACGGGGGGGATGACTCCCCTCCCCGCCGCGACTGCTCATCACCAGGTCCGAGCCCAGCCGCCGCCCCCGGGGGAAGCGCCTTGCCCAGCGCCGGGCGGCGCACGAGGCCCTGCAGGACCGCGGCTGCGGAGACCGTTCCCGCCGCGCGCCTGGGCTCCAGGGCCAGGCGGTCCGAGGTCCCTCTGGGCCTCCGTCTCCTTTCCAGGGAGGGGCACCGGCTAGGTGACACGGGACTCGCCGAGGGACTCGCCGTTTCCCTTCTCTGAGCCTGTAGTAGATGATGACAATACTGTTTCCCTGGAGGATCCTGCTTTGTTAATAGTCACAGGTTACAAAGCGCTTGCCTTTCCCAGCCCCCTTATGTCCCTTCCCTGTACAAAACCTGGGAGGTGGCCTAATACCTATCCCTGATCTGCAGTTGACGAAACTCAAGCCCGGAGCGGAGTCACCTGCCTGAGCTCACCCTGAAAACCAGACCTGGACATGACCTGATAACTCAGTCCTTTCCTGCCCCTCAGCCATCGCTCAGCCAGGGCCCCCGAGCTCCCTCCAGGACCTCCTCTGCCAACTGTCAAGTGCACCTGGACTCTGAGGGCTGGTGAGGGTGGGTGTGGGGAAGGAGAAACCCCTGTTGGAAAAAGGGACTGTGGGAAGGACGACCAGTTAGAGGGGCAGCTGTGAGCACAGGTGTGGGGTTAGGGAATAAGGGTAGCCCTGCTGCTGGGAGGGGAGAAGGTGATGACCGCCAACAGGAAATCCCCAAGCCCAGCAATTCAGGAAGCCCAGCCAAAGCCTTTTATCCTGCATCGGCGATTTAACCCCATGTAAACGCCAAGTGAAAGTTCTCTTGAAGAGACCGATGGTCCTCGTTTTCCTGTAATCCTGTAAAGGAATCTGATTTCTTCATCAGACTGTCCCCAGGACTAAAACGCCTCATTAGTGTTATTCTTAGGAAGGTGTCTTCCTAGATCAGGCTGCAAGGAAATGGAGGAAGTGGCTATCTGTCACTCACACCCTGGAGGGGCACTAATTCCCAGAGCCTTAGGGGTGGGTGGGGAGCAGCTCATTGAAAGCAGAGCTGGGTGGTGCACAGCATGTGAATGTAAAGGGGATGGAGGAACCCAAGGAGGCCAGGCCTGGAGACAGCACCAATCCTGGGAGGCACCATTAGTATTCCCATTTTACAGAGGAGGAAACTGAGGTAGAGGCAGGTAACCTGATCATGACCACGCTGCCCCACAGCAGAGGAGCCAGAATCCAAACCCACGCAGCCTGTCTTGCCACCAGAGCTGCACTCTTCACCCTCAAGCTGCAGTTAAGCAGTATCACGCTGTGGCTAGGCCCACGGCCTCTGTGTTCACATCCCATCAGCTCTGCTATCTCTAGCTGTGTGACCTTGGGCAAGTTACTTCTCTGTGTCCCAGGGTCCTCTGTAAAGTGGGGATAGTAGTAGCTGCCTCATGGGGTTCCCTTCAATGAGTTAATAGCTGTAACATGTTTAGAATGGTGCCATGCACAGAGTCACCAGCCAGTAAATATGGGCCATTATTCCTGAACCCTGGATAGGCACATGTCCTTGAAGAGTGTAGAATTCTTCAGGATTCTGAAATGCCAGCCTGTGGGATCCGGGAATCCTCCAACAGCATTCTAACGGCTCTCGGCTGCAGAACTGCACCCTGTTTCCCAGCGCTGGAAGGTATGAGGCTGCCTGTCCACCCAGCTCAGCCCCACAGTAGGCAAATGAGGTGATGTCAAAGCCTTGGCTGGGGCCCAGTCCCCATAACCTCCCACTCTCCCTCCCCTGCGTGCTCCCTCACTCAGATTCACACACACACTCCAGGCAGCCGGGCCCAGAGGGAAGCTGAGAGGGCGAGGAGGAAAGGTGGCTGGGTTGGTATGTGGGTCTGTTGAAGTGAGCCGCCTCCAGCCCTGTTGGACTGGTGGGCCCAGGGACTGGAGCTGGATGGAAAGGGATCTTGCTCTCCCTTGAAGCCTCGAGTTGCAGCGGTTTCCGTGTCTTCTCCCCCTGTGTGAGCCTGTCTGGGTGTTTAGGCTGAACTACAGCCGCCTCCTCCTCCAGGGGTGTGCAGGCCAGGGCCTGGCCAGGCAGCATGGCTGATGAGAAGACCTTCCGGATCGGCTTCATTGTGCTGGGGCTTTTCCTGCTGGCCCTCGGTACATTCCTCATGAGCCATGATCGGCCCCAGGTCTACGGCACCTTTTATGCCATGGGCAGCATCATGGTGATTGGGGGCATCATCTGGAGCATGTGCCAGTGCTACCCGAAGGTAGGTGGTAGTGGGGCTGGGTGGGGCCAGGTCAGCTGGGGCCAGGAGGGCTCAACACTGTGCCTCTATGCCTCACCCCTAACCTGTAGTTGTCTTTTCATTCTTCTCATTTTGACTCGTTCTTCTCTCTGCTCTCCTGAGCATCCATCCATCCATCCATCCATCCATCCCTCCATCCCTCCCTCCCTCCCTCCTTTAGCCTAAGGGTTGGTCAGAATGCCCCTGGATTTGGAGCCCTGAACCAGAAGGTATGGTGTAGACACAGTAAACACAACACACCATGCCTGTGCTTGAAACAAAAGCCAATGAGTGCTGACCCCTGCCAGGCACTCCTGCATTCAGGGTGCAGTTCAGCCCTCATCCTAAGCCTTTTGGTGCCTTCTGTAGTTCCACCTTCTGAGCCCTTCTGAGGTCCAGGAGAGGCTGCACAGCTAACGAGCAAGGTTTGGAGCTCAGATGCGTGTGACTTACACGTCACCCTTCACCTTGGGTCTTCTACCTCTGGGTCCCAGAGCGGCTGAGAGCTCCAGGGCAGGTCAGGTCTAACCTTGGTGGCATGCACTGGGCAGTATCCTTTAGAGTCTTCATGCATTCCCAGCCTTATGTGTAATTTAGTGATGGGAAGAGCACTGGTTTGGGAGTCCTGGGTTCTAGTTCAAGTCCTGTTCCAAACTCTCTATGACCTTTGTCTTTCTGAGCCTCATTTTTTTCATCTGAAATTGGGACCCCTACCCCTATTTTGCACAGAGCTTCACAGGGTCATTAGAAAGATCAGAGAAGAGGTGAGATATAGGAATATTTTGTAAACTGTAAGGTGTTATATATAGATGAAGGGCTACCACTGTGACCGATATCGATCCGCCCAACAGCTCTGTGGAATGGAAATGCCAGGAGTCGTGAATCTTCAATGCTTAGAGAGGTTGAGTGACGTGTAAGGTCACACAGCTGGTCAGGTATAGACCCAGGGAGAAAAGCTGGGAAATAGGGACTCTAACTTGGGCTCTGTCTCTAACAGCCTGGGAGACTTTGCTCAAGCCCCTTTCCTCTCTGCGCCTCAGTTTCCTCATTTGTACACTGTGTGAGTTAGGAGGAGGGGGTCGGGAAGGGGGTATATCTGGGGGCCCTGCTGTACCTAATATTTAGGGCTCCAGGTCCAGGCAGCCCTCAGCAACCCCCACACCTCCTCTCCTCCCACCTGGTTGGCTGTGCTCAGGGTTTCAGGGAAGGAGGGGGATGGCTCCCCCGGGACCTGGGCAGCCTCTCCCCAGCCCTGCCCCCTCCACGGGCCAGCCCTGGGCTGTCGTTCTGTTCAGTGCTGGAGCGGTCTGGGCTGGTTTGCAGTCATTTAGCAGGCAGTTTACAGTCAACTTGCCTCTGTCTGTGCAATTCCCTGAGCAGAGGTCACTGGGAGAAGTCCTTGGGGCCAAAGCCACCCATGTCACCACTGCCATCATAATCCTCCCAGTGAGGAAGCTGGACCCTGGGGGACAGCAGAGGAAAGGCAGGGGTGTGGAGGGAGCATCCTTCCGGCCCCCCCACCCCCCGGCCTTAAACAGAGCTGGCTCTGGGGCGGTGGGCAGGCTGCTGGGAGTGACAGTAGAGGGGAGAGGAGGGGAGGAGGGAATATTGCTGGGTATTAATGAGTAACTGTTGATAGATTCATGGGTTCACGTGCTGTGGAGGCAGCGTGGTGGGCTGGAAATGGCACATGTTGTGGTGACCTCCAGGCCCAGATTCAAATCCCTGCTCCTTCATGTCCCACTTCTGTGACCTTGGCAGAAGGAGTCCCTCCCCACCAGCTCTGAGCCTTGTATGGCCAATTGGGAGAACACAGTGGGATCCTCTGTGTGTGTGTGTGTGTGTGTGTGTGTGTGTGTGTGTGTGTGTGTTGGGGGAGACCTGGCATCACGCCTGACATGGAACATATGTAAAGGCATTGTTCTCAGGATTAAGGATTGGTATTTGTTGCACTGGGCAGGCCTCTGCAGGAGTGCAGGTGTGTGTGAGTGTGTGTTTCAGAGATGCAGGCTGGTAGAGCCAGCACAAATTGACTCCAATAAGGCAAGGGAGGAAAGCACCTTATAAACCAGGGAGACACGCTAGAGGCAAAGCTCCCTGGATCCTGTGTGGTCTCATTGGTGCCTGGGTCAACACTGCCTGCAGTGCTCCTGCCTGTCCTCCCCTCAGCCTCCTCCTACTGGCTTTCTGTGCCAGACCCATGGAAAGTTTGGATAGATGGGGAGATATAAGTATAAGAGAATAGAATTAGCTAAATAGGATACAGGGGTGAGGGGTAGCCAATACCAACATGCATTAAGCTGTCCATGTCTTTTAGGGGCTAGAGGTCTCGTGGGAGAGACTATTTGCTGCCTGAAGGGGAGGAAATACACTTCACAGAGAAGGTGAGCTGGGCTTTGTAGATGCGATAAGAGTTCACCAGGCAGAGAAGATGGGGAAAGACATTCCAGGCAGAAGAGCAGCATGATCAAAGCCATATGGCGAAAGAATAAGGCAAGTGGGCCATTGTGGCTATGAGAGGCAGAGGGGAGGAAGGTAAAGGTGGGGGGGGAGTGGGGCTCAGCTCTTCAGGGCCTCGGATGCCATGGCAAGGAATCTGGAGCTTGTCCTTTAGTTAATGGGACGTGACCAGCTTTGCAGTTTGAGAAAGACATCCAGAAGAAGGAAGGCCTGGGGGCAGCCATACTAGTGGGGAGGCTTCTTCTCTGGTCTTGGTGAGAGCTGACAGTCATCTGGAATAATGAAGAATTTAAACCCAAAGCTGTAGGAACTAAGGTGACATTTACAGTTCACTACACTTAGGATACCCGCTGTGGCTAGGCATAGCACCAGCACTTCCACCCAGGTTATCTTATTGAATTTCTAAAGTAGACCTGGTCAGATTTGGTGGTCAGCTGGGCCTCAGGCATGAGAGAGGAGAGGAGATCAGGGCAAATCAGGGCAGTTGGAGGTGCTGAACCCATTCGTGAAGATGCGGGGGGAGAGCTGTGAGCAGGGAAAGGAGTAGCAGAGAGAGCAGGGCCTCTGCCCATGCATCCGCCCTTCCTCGCTCCTGCCTGCTGTGCTGTAGCCCAGGACCAGGGTCCTGACTGGTAGCCTCCCTTCCTCCTGAGATTGCTCAGTTTTCTGTCTATACACAAATCTGACAGTGTACTCTCCTGCTGAGAGTCCTTCAGGACTCCCCATTGCTCCTGGAGAAAGGCTAAGCTGCTTAGTTTGGTGTTCTGATGGTCTCCATGGTCTGATATCTCCTCCCCAGCTTCAACTCTGCCTGTCTCTCCTCATTAAAAAACTTGTATTTTAAGATGCTCCATCCTCTCTTTCTCTAAGCTTTTCCTAGGGGTGGTGATGATGATATGATGGTGATAACGAGAGTGTAGTGGGGATGGTGAGGGTGAGAATGGTGATGGTGATAATGATAATGATGACGTTAGTGATGGTGCTGGTAAGAATGATTATGGTAAAGATGGTGAATTGTGGGAGTGGTGATGGTGAGGATGGTGATGGTGAGAATGGTGATGATGATGATGATAGCCAGTAATGATGAGATGGTGATGGTCAAAATGTTGATGCTGAGAATGGTAATGGTGATAGTAGTGATGATGACAGTGATGCTGATGGTGAGGATGGTGATGGTGAGAATGGTAATGGTGATAGTGATGATGATGACAATGACAGTGATGATGGTGGTGAGGATGGTGATGGTGAGAATGGTGATGATGATGATAATGATGATGATGGTGATTATGAGATGGTGATGGTGAGGATGATGACGATAATGATGATGGTGATTAGGAGATGGTGATGGTGAGGATGGTGATGGTGAGAATGGTAATGGTGATGATGATGACAATGACAGTGATGATGATGGTGAGGATGGTGATAGTGAGAATGGTGATGATGATGATAATGATGATGATGATGATGACAGTGATGCTGATGGTGAGGATGGTGATGGTGAGAATGGTAATGGTGATAGTGATGATGATGACAATGACAGTGATGATGGTGGTGAGGATGGTGATGGTGAGAATGGTGATGATGATGATAATGATGATGATGGTGATTATGAGATGGTGATGGTGAGGATGATGACGATAATGATGATGGTGATTAGGAGATGGTGATGGTGAGGATGGTGATGGTGAGAATGGTAATGGTGATGATGATGACAATGACAGTGATGATGATGGTGAGGATGGTGATAGTGAGAATGGTGATGCTGGGCCCAAACCGCTCCAGCTTCTTCACCTCCTATTCAGACCTCATCTCTGTGCTGGCCACTCAGAGTCTCGTATGACGGATCCTCGTGAGCTCATGTGACCTCCCGTGCTTTCCCTTGGGCTCCTCCTGGGCTTCTGCTACCTGCTGGGTGGCTTGGTGACCCCTGCCCCTGGAGCCTTCCCCAAATCAGCCCACTCTGAGTCAGAAATCCCCTATGCTACTCCTCAGTGGCCTAGTCATGCCTCTCACTGGGACCTTTCTTTCCCTAACCGGAAACGCTAAAATCTGGTTCTCATCTTTCCCCTGCATAAATCTTCTGTGAAAACAAGCCAGACACCTTTAGCCCCAGCAGGTTTCCTGCCTGCACTTCCTCTCCGGCCTCTCCCAGGACTTAGATTCCATCCCCATTCACATGAGCATCCAGAGCCTACCCTGCCCAGCCCCCCGGGGATAGAACAGTGCTCAAACAAAGTCCCCACCCTGTGGGGCTTCTGAGTTCTAGCTGGGGAGACATAGACAGACAAGAGACAAGATAAGCAATCACACATATAGTATGATGGCTGTGAGCACTATGGAGAAACATTGGGAAAGGAATACAGGGAACTTTGGGAGAGCGATTCTGCAGTTTTTATAGCAGAATCAGGAAGACCTTTACCGGTGAAGGCAACATCAAAGCAAAATGAAGGAGGTATGATATTTCATGCAGCTATAATATTGTTAACTATAAGATAATTACAGGAAAATGGGTGCATGAACCT